TCCACTGTGTGACACTTATATATTAAGTTTCTTGTTCACTGGAGAAACATTAACTGGGTTGATCAAGTAGTGATTTTCAACTGCTATGCCATGGCAGGCACACTGGTGTGCCACAAAAATTTTTAAAATATGCAATACCTGACCATTTGGTCAGGGGCAATGACCTTTTCCTTTACATTATTCAATTAAAAATATTGACAACAGGCAACACAATAGCCATCTAGTATGAATGAATCAAAATTACACCTATTTTTTTGTCAGACTAGCAAAAAATATATTTTTTGATGTGCTGCAGAATTTTAGTAATTAGTGTAGTGTGACATGAGATGAAAAAAGTTGAAATTCGCTGGTCTACAGTGTTGTCTGGGGACGGGCATGTGGAGGAAGTGTTGACTGGCAGCCTCTGAAATCCTGTCTGCCCCACGGTGAGCTGAGCTAAGTCCATTTAGAAAGAAAGAAGGCCTGCTGCTCCCCATCTTTTCAACAGGAAAGTATCTGCAGAGTGGCCTGGGCAAAGCCAAGATTGCGCGTAGGGTTGTCAGGGTCCGTGTGGCCAAGACTAAAGACCTCAGGAGAGTTAGGTGTCTTAAGTGGCTCCCTGGCCTTTTGACTTTACTGCTTTTTAAGAATTCTTATCTACATTTTCTTTTTCTAAGAGTGACATATAATTTTACTTCCAAAATAACGTTCTGATTTTTAAGTTATACATGGGACAGACTTTGTTATTCAGCGTGAAAACTAAACTTGGAATAGAGGGCTTGTGAAGGACTGGTGTGAAAACTGTTCTATATCTATCTATATAAAAGGCAAATATGCAGTGTCCCCTCAGGAGTTCGACTGAGAGACTGGGAGTTTGATCGCTTGCTATGATGTGTGCTGACCACCAGGGGGCGGTGCGGAACATGGCAGGCAACCAGCAGCAGTGGGGCACTGAGGGAGTGAGGGAAGGAGGAGGCAGGGAACCTGATGGGCTCTGATCTCTGGCAAAGCCTAGGGACCCTCCCCATGCACAAATTTTGTGCACTGGGCTTCTAGTATGATATATTCATATCTCAAAGAGGAAGGGAGAGGAAGAGAGAGAGAGAAACATCAATGATGAGAGTCATTGATCGGCTGCCTCCTGCATACCCCACACCTGGGCATGTGCCCTGACCAGGAATCAAACAATGACACCTCCTGGTCCATATGTCAATGGTCAACCTCTGAGCCTCATAAGCCAGGCGTGAAACCTGTTCTTATCAACCACTGAGTGATCTCCAGACCTGGGGACATCATGGTTTGGTTTTGGTAGGGAGGTAGGTGTTGGTGTGGTGACGTTTTTCAGTCTGCAATGGCCTACGTAGAGTGAACCAAAGTGAATATTTGTCCTCATGATTTGGAGTCGGGCCTGTGCCTTAGGAATGGGAAGTAGTTGAGTGTCACTGGACCCCCGCGTGGAGAAAATGCTGGCGTTCACTGAAGCCCTTTCCTAATGGGGCTGAGACTGGGCTTCTTCCCTGAGGTCGAAAGGCCTTTGGGAATCATCTTCGCTAACTTATTTCATAGATGAAGAGACAGGGCCCCACGGGCAAATCTTTTCTCTGTCCCCTGGCCACCATTCTAACAACCAGTGGCCTTGAGTCTGTGTCTTTACATCAACTAAGAAGGAAACCAGATCAGCTCGCTTTTCAAGGCTGAGTTTCAGTTGCCTCTCCTTGAGCTCAGGTATGTTTAGGGACATTCTGTTCCCTTTGGAGGTAGAGAGAAAGCACACAAAAAGGAGGGTTGCTGTCAGGCCCTGTGGAACAGGTGCACAATGTTCAGTGAACAATGGGGATATCTCGTACTAGAGAGATGGTTGAAAACGAGTATTCCAAGGATGCTGTGAAGTGGGAGTGAACAGTGCCCGAGAAGGAGGGATAACAAAGTTACCGTGGTGCCCAGAACTCAAGTTAAATACCCTGTAGACATCTGCAGGTGAGTCCTGAGAGGGAATTTCACATTTTATACATGGTGCGTGTGTAAAATGTAATTAGGTTAGTGATGGGCTAGGAGAGAATATCTTAAAGTTTTTACCAAATTTCTGTCAATGCTTTTTAAATATTGGTGTCATTATGACCAGGCCAAGAGCTGGAGAAGCTTTACTTAAGAAGGTTAGGGCAAGGCCATCTTGTTTCCCACACTGTCTAGTTCATAGAAGGTGGTCAGCAAATATTTAATTGAATTTGACAATGTGGTGAAGTTGAAATATTTACAGATAGATATACAGGGTGGGGCAAAAGTAGGCTTACAGTTTGTGAGTACCTGAAACAGAATTTATTCTTGTATTGTTATTCATTCATTATTGTTTTACTAGAGGCCCGGTGCACAAAAATTTGTGCACTCGGTGGGGGGGTCCCTCAGCCTGGCCTGTGCCCTCTCACAGTCTGGGACCCCTCGGGCGATGACCACTTGCTGGCTTAGGCCTGCTCCCCGGGGGGATTGGGCCTAAGCTGGCAATCAGACATCCCTCTGGCAACCCAGCACACCTCGGGGGATGTCCACTTGCCAGCGGGGAGCAGGCCTAAACTGCAGTCGGGCATCCTTAGCGCTGCTGATGAGGCAGGGGAGGCTCCCACCACCAGAGCAGACTGGCAACCATTGCTGTTTGCTACGCTCTGGTGATTCCCTGAGACCCCGCCCCACCCAATTTACAACCCTACCCAAGTGTACGCAGAGGCTTTTGCATTCGAATGGCCTGGGCTTCCTCCACCTATAAACCTGTCAAACTGAAGCTGGGTCAAAGAACCCCCGAGTCTCCTTTTTTTCTTTTTCTTTTTTATTCTGGGATTTATTTACCTTCTATAATTGAAACTTTGTTGCCATCCTGCTCGTTCTAGCTCTGAGGTCGCGGCTGGCTGAAAGTAGGTATCTGGGGTTTGTTGAGCTTCTGTAATTGAAACTTTGTTGCTTTTGGAGCTGTTGCTTTCAGAGCTCAGAGCCGGCCGCGGCAGGTGGGGAACCTTGGCTGCCTCCATCACTGGAGCAAGCAAATCTCCTGCTCACTTCAGCTATGTGGCTGCCGGCCGCCATCTTTGTTGGCAGTTAATTTGCATACCTTGCTGATGAGCCAATGGGAAGCGTAGCAGAAGTATGGTTAATTACCCTTTTTGTCTTTTATTAGATAGGATTTTCCATAGGAACTGTAAACCTACTTTTGCCTCACCCTGTATAACTATAGTATGTCTTGGAACTTGTTATTTTTAAGAGATAGGTGTATGTACAAGTCCAAGAGCATGCTTATCTCAGAGGTGTGGGTGAATGACTAGGGTGAGATGAGAGAAGAGTGGGTGGCAGGGAAAGCCACACAGAGGAAGAAGCTTCAGTTGGAGACTCAAATGACATGTAGGATTGAGCATTTTAGGCAGAAGGAATAGGCAGTGCAAAAGTTCTAAAGCAGAAATGAGCTTCGTGTCCTTGTAGGTCAGAGAGGCCAGTGTGAGTAGAGCCCAATGAGCAAGGGAGGAAATGTTAGGGGGCAAGATAGGGGCCAGGGCATATAGTAGAATTTGTATCTTTAAAGGTCATGGTTTGTAAGAGTCAGGAATTTATTATCCTATATATTAAAAGGCTAATATGCAAATTGACCAAATGGCAAAACGACCAGTCACTATGACATGCACTGACCACCAGGGGGCAGACACTCAATGCAGGGAGCAGACACTCCACAGGGGGAGCGCTGCTCAGCCAGAAGCCGGGCTCATGGCTGGCAAGTGCAGCGGCAATGGTGGGAGCCTCCCCCGCCTCCAGAGCAGCGTTAAGGACCCATCAGGGGTCCCGGACTGTGAGAAGGCTCAGGCTGGGCTGAGGGACCCCCCACCCCCACCTCCAGTGCACTAATGTTGTGCACTGGACCTCTAGTTAGGAATAAAAGGGAAGCTATCTGGTTTTATGAAGGGGATGACAGTATAGTTTTTCCTTTAAGAAGACAACTAGTGCTGCAGTATGGAGAATGGGTTGTAGAAAGTGGGAGTGGAGGTAGGGACCATTTAGAAGACTGTCACAGGTAACCAAGTGGCAGGTAACTGAGGTGTCAGAGATTACACTAAACAGTGATAGGGAAGTGGGTGGATTTGGGATATATTTTGGATGAGGTGGCCAAGTAGACCTGCTGTTGTATTAATGTGAAGTAAGAAAGTCAGAATTGCCCTGGCTGGACAGCTCAGTTGGTTAGACCATTGTCCTGATACACCAAGGTTGTGGGTTCGATCTCTGGGCAGGCTGCGTTCAAGAAGCAACCAATGAATGCATAAATATGTGGAACAACAAATTGATGTGTTTCTCTCTCTCCCTCTTCCCCTTCCCCCCTCTCAT